GTGTCGGCTCTTCCAGGCGCCGGTGGAGCCCTGAAGGCTGCTGCCTGTCTTGTGGTGCTTGCGCTGGATTCCGTAGGCTAAAACGTTTCACTGGTAGAAATACGAAGGTGGAAAAGGTTAGTATGCCAGCAGACTGTAGTAGGTAGACACCATTCTAAAGATTTTGTATCTCACCCAAAACTTTCCAGAAGCGACCTTTGAGTTGAACTTTCATTTGATTTTGATAATCATTTAACTTCTGAAGACTGGCTGTCCTTTATTTATACATATGAAGGAATACTTGTTGCATGCAATTGGCAGTGGAGCTTGTGGGGGTCCTAATAGAGATTTTTGTATAGGAAACTGTTAAATAAACGCTGTTTGCTTGCCTCTGTTGTGTTAGAGCTGGTGACAGATGCTTCAAAGCTTTCTGGATCAAAGTAAGCAATGTGGGGGCATGGGGGCTTTTGTTGGTTTTGCTCTTTGTTTGTTTAAATGAATTCTGTTATCTGGAAGAACTAGTGTTTATTCTCGCTAATGAAAGAGACCCTCTGGCATCCGTAACAAACTGTTGCCTGCCAGGAGGTGTGAGTACAGCAGGAGGGTGGGGGGCTGCGAAGGGTGCGTTAGCGTGGCAGGTCGCTGATCCCGGCGGGAGGTACGGAGGAGATGGCCCAGGGAGCTCCTTCGGCCGAAGCAGCTGAAAGCAGAGACCTCGGGTCTGTGCCTGCTATTTGCAGGGGCCTGTTGGGAGACGGAAACGGAGGAGATGGAGCTCTCTGAACATGAAGAGCAAGTGTAATATTAGCCATTATCTTATTTCCCAGCACTGGCCCAGTACAGCCTTTATTCAGTACGTGAGCATGTTCTGTTTGAGGGTTGTTTTCTTAACAAAAAAGTTATCAGGAGAACAGATATTTCAAACTACTGAAAAATAGCATAACGCTACCTATGTAACTCAAATCGTGGTGAGTGTCGAGTTTATTCCTCCTGATCACTGTCATAAGTTTGTGCAGCATTGTTGCACAAACAACTTAGAAAGCTGCTACACAACTGTGGGGCAATTTGTGGTTTTGTTTTGTTTTTTTTTTTCTTCATATATGCAATGATATTTCTAGTGTGATTTGCAAGGAAACTTTAGATTTTGCTTGATGCAGTAAGGGTTTTTTAACCCATAACTAAAGAAGCAAAGGTCAACTGAGTAAAAGACACGGCTACATTATTTCTTCAGTTTTAAAAACTTGGATTTCTTTTTTTTCCAGAAGTATTGATAAAATGCTTGTTAAAAAGGCCCATTAGAACATACAGTCCGAAGAACATGATTTCATTGTTTTAAAAACAAAAATAAATGACTTCCAAAGCTGTCTGGGAAGCCGCGTTTTTAAAGTAAACTGGTGTAGGCAACCATCACTGAGACTTCAGTCAGTGGTTTGTATACCTTCTGCTGCTCTTTCGGTCCTACTCAATGGAAATGTAATGGTTTAACTCTGGTAGGTATGTACCTGGTCTTCAGAATGCAATCTCCGAAAAGGCTGAAGGAGGCGAGGGGACAAGAAGCAAGGATAAGCGTCGGCCGTGCTCTCAGCTGCCCGGTTCTGCAGCCTGCCCCTCCGCAGGCGGGGTTTGACCTTGGGGACGGGCGCCTCGCTGCGCCGCGGGAGGTGCTCAGCGCTTGGCTGGGAGCCTGCTGGGCTGCGCTTGCCATCGAATGCCGCTGCTGAGCTGTGGCTCTCAGTTTGTTCATAGTTAATGAACTTTTGAAGAGTTTACTTGAACTGGGGTAAGTAGGGATTTGTGCTTCAGCCATCACCCTGTCTTACTGAACTCGGTAAAACGTTGGAAGGATACGCTTCCATTTTCTTTCTTGAAAGCCAGTATCTCTGCAGACATGTAAGCTGGCTTGGTGGAAGATGCTAATTTGTTCTTTTTAAACTCCCTTGGATTCTAGAGCATATTGTGTTCCCAGAACAGGCACTTGCAAGGCTTTCGTACTCTTATTTGAAGTGACTCCTTTGCTGATGTGTAAGGTGTGTGAAACTACTTCAAGACTGCCACCAGTTTGCAATCTGAAAGATGAGTTGTTGTTCTAGCGACTTGAAGAAACCTTATGGTAGAATGTGTAGTACACAGGGTGCTGGGATGATGCGTATGTATTCACCATCGCCATATGCTTTGCGCGGCTGTAGATGGTATGTGAACTGATGTTGATTGTCTTAGTACTTTTATTTTGCAGGAGGTTGAGTGTGGTGATGGCAGTGCAAGTTTTCCAGCTGCATGTTTTAATTCTTGCGCAGTACTGAATTTCGTATTGTGTTATGACTTCATGAGTATCCGTAGGCATTGCCAGGTACATAGAAGTGATGTTACAAAAGGTTGTCTTAACAGACTTAAGGTGGTAGGGTTTAGCTGATGGTTAGTTTTTATTTTTCAATTTGGCGGGAGGGGGGATAAACCTACAGGATAGGGTCTGATTCTGAGGCACTCTGCTCTGGTGATAAGATGTTTCTCAGATTGCTCAAATCCTGTTGTGCGAGACTCATGCCAGACAGGCGGGAGAGGGACTCTGCAGGCGCCAGGCCTGTGTCCCGGCCTGCGTGGCTGTCCCGCGAGCTGGCTGTGCTGCCGCGGGAGTGCTGAGTGGGGCCCCGTGGGCAGCCCACCTCCTTGGGCGCTCGCTTTCCTCTCGCAGTGGCGGCCTGCGTGCGGTGCAGCTGGGCAGTGGACCGCAACCCCGATGGGGAGCCCTGCACCCCGTGGGGCTGCAGCCGGGGGGAGGCGGCCGCGCCGAGGTGCCAAGTGCGTGCTCCGCAGCGAGCGTGTGTGGAGGCGTAGGGTGGCTGCAGCAGCCTGGCCATCTGCCATAGACGGTACCCAGGCTTTGTAGCTGTGGGCTGGTGGCAGCACGGCTGCTCGCTGTTACTGGCAGCAAGGTCCGAGACATCTGACTCAAGGCTTACTCCCTGTTTCCGTGGAGGTGCTGTAGCTTTTGAGGCCAGGCCGCCACAGTAACCTTCCTTTGAGAAACTTCCTTTGCTATGGGGTTTTTTGTGTGTTGCCTTTCCCTTTTACTCCTCCTTGTCATGGTATAAAGGAAAGAGGAAGTTGGTCTTTTTTGAGACTGAAGTATGAAGTAAATGGAAAATGTGATACTCTCCATACGTACCAAGAAAGGTTGTTATGGTGGGAGTCTTCAAGAGCATACGTGCTGCTCTTCAGAAAAACTCGTGGGAAGCTGCAACTCTTGGCCTTCTGTACAATAATAGCTTGCATATAGTACATACATACAACATCTGTACATCAAATGATTGCATATAATAATTGGGCGGGGAGTTCCCCCCCCCCCTTATGAAATAAAAAAATGGGGGGGGGGTCCCCCCCCCCCCCCGCCCCGAGTGCACTGCAAGTAAAGTGCACTGGGAATGAAGTTAAGATCTATACCATCTTAAAAACGAAGTTCTCTTGTTTGGCTTGTGTCTTAAACATCTTTGGTGTATTTTTAATGTTAAAAATACACCAATCATGCTAGCTGGAAGAACAAAAAGGAGAAAAAAGACGAAATGTGTACAGACATATACTAACATACAATGTTTCATGTTGAGTTGTATTTATAAGGCCAAAGAAATAACTTTTCAGCTGTAAGTAGTTTGCTGCAAATCTTGACAGGAAAGCTGTACGCTGCCAAAAGTCATGGTTTATGACCTAGTCCGGTGCGTTTGGTACAAGATGGGCGGCAGCCGCGGAGGGAGGGCTGCGAAGCCTCTGGATCATCAGGCGCCGCGTGCGGCCTGGCGTGCGGTGAGGCACCGCGCCATGCCGGAGCCGTGCCGGAGCCAGGCAGCAGGGCTGGCTTGGGGGGCCTCGCCAGGGACCAAGGCAAGGGCTGAGCCCCCCAGCCAGGCTTCGGGAGAGGCTAATGGGGCCTCCCTCTGCCCGGCCCCGGGCTGGGGGGACGCTGTGGCGCCCCTCCCTGTGGCTCCCTGCTCCTGGCCCAGGGCCACTCACGCCGCATTGTGAGTCCGCTGGTGTTCCGGCGTTGGCACGGGGCTGTACGTGTTGCCTGCTTCTGCTTTAGGCCTTAATGGCGCTAAATCTCTTGTACGGAGACTGCTGGGTGAATCTGGGGCTTGGACAAAGATGTCTTCATAACCGGAGGGCTTGGAGCGCTGACGGGAGTCCTTCAAACTTGATGTATGTTGTTTCTAATGCGCTGTGAGCTGCCGCAGTCCCGGGAAGATGGATTAGGTTGTGCCTGCTTAAGATTCAGGTCAGTTCCATGCAAATTTTTCATTCAGTATCCGAACACTGGGTCTTTTAAGAATTTGCCTGACCCACATAAGGCTAGTTTTAAACCCTCTGTAGCTAGATGACTAAGTTCTGCGCTTATTTCAAGCCACTTAATCTTGTCCGCTGTCTCTGCTGCTGCTTCTCACTGAAGGACCTGCTTCCTGACCAGCAGCGCATCGCTTCTCCAGCGTTCCTGGGTAGGACAAGCTTTGCTGGTATACAGTGAATACTGGGATCCTAATTCCTGGTTGGAAAGCAGGACGGAGTGTTGTTAGGCAAATGTGGTTGTAGAAATAGTGTGATGGGACGGGAGGGTAGCTAAAGGTGATCTTGTCAAGCAGGTCAGCTGTTCTGTTGCGATAAGGATTTGGTGGCCATCCGGCTGACGACAGGGTGTTCTTGTTCTGCTTTTGCCACGGTGTTGTAAGCACTTGTCACATATACGAGTACTTACAGTTTAAATGGGGAGGGTGTGTACATCTACTTTTATATGTAAATACTTTTTTGTCGTTCAGCTTTCATGGCAAAGACCAGAGCACTCTGGCTTGCCGCTGTCTAGACTTTGTTTAGAAGTTATTAACACTGCAATGAAAATCACTAATTAATATATTGCTACCCTAAGTTTCAACTGTCACAACATTGTCATTAGTTTCTGCAAAGGGTCTATTCTGTGTAGCCTAGATTCTAACGTGGTAAAACTGCCTATTAATTTTTATCTTCTTTTCTTACAGTAAAAAATGGCATTTCAGAAGGCAGTGAAAGGAACTGCTCTCATTGGAGGAGGTGCCATAGCAACAGTTTTTGGCCTCTCTCAATTTTCTCAGTATAGAAACAAACACGTAAGTATTAATTATGATTTCTCATAAAATATGAAACTTAAAATCTGTTTGAGCGTATGTTAGGCTTATATGAATAGTTTTGTTTGGAAAGGAATGCCAAGAGCCTCTTGGCTTGATTTGGTAGGTGCTAATCTGGAGGATGGCATTAAACGATGGTTCACTATTGTAGGTCTTTAACCAGTGGGGAAGTGAGATTCTTGTAAATCATTTTTCGTGTTTAAAAAATGACCTTTGTGTGCTACTAGGGATTTTACTTAGTTGCAGGAAGAGTGGAAAGTACTGATTAAAGTATAAGCACTAAGTAGAGTTTGGTCAAACTTAGAAGCTTGAAGTGAAACCACTAGCACTGCCTTTGAAAATCTCAGCTTCAAAACAGTCATGGTGGCAGCAGTGAAGGGTGATGTTGGAGACTTGCTGGTAGAGTAGAGTAGTGGTAGTAGAGATGCAGTAGATTCTGATGTCAGTTTGTGGATTGATTCTTGCTGTTGTAGAAAATAGATTTCATTGGCACAGCTGCTCCTTGCAGTACAGTTGGAGTCACCGTGCTTTGACTTGCTTCTCGATGCAGAAGCCAAGGAGAAATCAGTAAAAGAAACATGTGTTGTGGACTGGTTTCAGGCAGAGCTGGTGTGGATCAACAACTTCTCTGTCTTAAAGCAAACAAATGCCCATTATTTTAATGCAGTTGTGCTGTACCTTAGTTATAAAATAACCATGTCCGGGCTTAGTAGATGTGTGTAAGGAAACATGTCTTCTGATCTTGTGTTAAATGTTGGCTGGGAGGATGGCACCTTGCATTTGGCCAAAAATATTTGCAATCGGTGTTCCATAAACTGGTTGAAGTAGGTGTAGTCGAAGCTCTGGCCTGACGTGCTTCAGTCTGGGTTTGGGAAAAGCCTAAGCCCAAGGAGCTACCTTCTCCTTCCTCTGAGATGGTATCAGTCTGAGTAGCGAGGTGGGCAGGCGCTCATTTCACGTTTCACCTGAAAAATGTAATCTGTCAGCTCTTTACCCAGGCAAGCTGTTACTCCGTGGACGGCTTTAGTTACCACACATGTACTGTAAGTTGCCATTCAAATTGGGCAAACTGAAAATAGGAACGGAAGAAGTGGATCTTAATGGTCTAGTTGAAGGTAAAACAGTGGGCGATGGGAGACAGTCTTCACTTAGCTCCGTGAAGGTGTGTATTATGTCTGAGTAAATGATAATGTGAATCTTCTGGCTGTTTCCGTGGGGAGGAGGAGGAGCAGCTGAGGTATTGGTAAAGCAAATGAGATGAGTCATTTCTGGGGAACCTAGCTGGAAAGTGGATAAGCCAGGATCCTTATGGCTTCAGAAAAAATGTTGCAGAAAATAAAACCTAGCATTTAAAGTGAACTTCCCATTGGGCTGCCTGTCTTGCACCTAGCTGATAATGCTGTTTCTAACTCTCTCTGGAGTCTTTATCACAGGATTTTACAGTCTGGCTTCATTACTGTCAGAAATGGCAGCTTCAAGTTTTAGGAATGTTAAGTAAGAGAAGGAGTTGGAAGTGAAAAGTGATCTGGATAGCTCACTTGTTGTATATGCAGTATTCCTGAATTCAGGGAATTCCCATTTTTCTGGGAATGGATGGCCATTTTGAATTTCCAGAGACAGATTAAAACCCGAAGTTTTACAGAAGGTGATCGTGGTGTCAAAATGAAATAACCACTTGTTCCCCAATTTCTAAACCTATTGTGTAGGATCAGCCTACAAAGGATCTGAAAATTTCCAGCATATGCGTAAGCAAATGGATCTGTCAAGTGAACAGCATGTTGTTTTCATGTTGTACTAACTTGCACATTTCCCACGTGATGTCCCTTAAAGCTGCTGCCTTAAACACCTAATATAGGGCAGCAGGTGGAACATAACTGGAGGGACTGACGCAAAGGAGGACAGTCCATTTGTTGTGTTGACATATCTAAGCTGTGGGCATGTCCCCAGCCCAAGTGTCCTCTTTTTAATAATGCCTGCCAATCAAATATACACTAGGGCAAAGATCTTGTCTTGGCCAGGGAAGGATACTGCCCCAAGATGTGCACTAACTGGCTACGCATTGTAGGAAATCTGTTGTTATTTCAAGAACTGAATCCATCACATAGTAAGACAGAAATGAAATGCTCAGGTGTTTTCCCCAGGTTGGTATTGCCTTGCTCAGGGACTGGATGTCTGTGCTGTGGCCAGCGGCCTGGAATCAGGGGCACCCAGTTACAGAATAGAGACCTCGGCTGGCTAATAATCCTGAACACACAGTCCAGTCGATCTGTCTTTGTTTGTTTTCCGCGTTCACTCAGCTGGTGCTCGATGTCTCCCTGAAACGTGGCTGTCCCAGGTGATTCCATGGGAGAGGCTGAAGGGTGGTGAACTTCTGGCCCTTGAGCATGGGTGGGAGGTCATTTGGACTCGATCTTAAAGGTCCTTTCCAACCTAAATGATTCTATGATTTTATGATTTGTTAGTCGAGCATGCTGGTGAGTGGTCTGCCTGCTAAAAGGGATGAGTATTGGCAATTTCTGATGTTGAAATTAAACGGTCCTTGCTGGGTTTGAGAGTCAAAGCCTGACTGTGAGGAGAACGGCACAGTTAGCATCAGTTAACCTTGTCTCTATGTAAAGAGCTGTAAAGTGTTTACACCTTGGAAATAAAACGCTCCATTGATTCAGATCTGTCCTGGTTTTCAAGATTTTTATCCCAGCTTATTTTTCTATACACACACGTGTGCTGACATTTTGGAGCACACTTCTGCAACAGCAATTGAGGCAATATAATCTGAGAATACATATCTGGGTATGGCATATGCAGGCATACAAGCAGTTTAGTAAATTGCCCTCCTTGTGTGTTGGGTTTTTTGACAACACGGAGCTCCTGCTGAGCAAGGGGAGGATGGGAACATGTGTTGACATGACAGAACTGTTTTGAATTTAACTCATAAGCTGATAGATGGATATTGCACTTCTGTGTCTTGTTTGGTAACCTGATCGCCGGGATATTTACTGAATTAATAAGCTGGGTTAGCTTAATGCTATGTGTAAGGGAATAAGTAGGAATGACACTAATTCAAGCAAAACCTCTTTCAGTAAACACACAGGAGTGGTTCTTTCATGTTGAATAACCATCACCCTTAAGGAAGCTGGTCAAGCTTTCTGCGCAGCCTTACTGACTTGGGCTGTTGAGGGCAAATGCGTAAGTCTGACAAAGAGGCTTTTGGTTAGCTTAAAAAGAAAAACCTTTTTCCAGAGAAAAGGAGACAGTTGGGGAACTCTTCGCAGCAGGTAGTGCAGAGGTCTGAAGAAACGAGTCCCTCTTGAACTGTTTTCAGGTAAAGCAAAAGTGTGCGTAGACTCTTTTTTTTTTTTTTTTTTTTTAGTGCTACCACTGTAAATCAGTTTTGTCTTAAACCATACAGAAACTCTCAAATCCGTGTATACTACATTGACTACCAGTCACGAGCTCCTGAAAAGAAGAATCGTATCTGAGATGAGGTTGAACCCCTCTGAGACATAAAATACACAGGCTAGGTGCCTAACTGATGGATTTGGCCTTGAATATTCAGAGACCTGAACGGAGAAGGTGACAGCCAGCCTTTGCTAGCTGTTTCACCAGCGTTTCTAGCGCTACTGGTGATAGAGAAATGGAAATACCAGTTTGTCTTGCAGCAATTCAGGCAGCATCTACAAGAAGCTTTCTTGCTTTTTGTGCCTTTATTTTAATGCATCGAGCCAGGTAGGCTGGTCCTAGATAGGATGTGGGTATTCTTTGATGTGCCAAGTTTGAACTGGAGACCTCTGATTTTTTTTCTGCCTCCTACCCATTAAGGGAAAAAGCACTGCTGAGTTTTGCAGTTGTAGGAGATTGCTGTCTTTTCCTCACTAAGCCCACCAGGCAATCCTTCTCTTTTTGGTGTCTCTGCATTGTTGGTCAATAGGAATTGCTCATCAAGGTGAATCCAACAGGGGGTGATAATATGATAATGCACCGGGGTCTGCTTTTGGGGTTTTAAATTAATTCCTTTGTAGTTTTTGGTTTGTTTTTTTCTTTTTTCTTTTTTTTTTTTTTTTATGAATAAGGATGATGAATTTGACTTTGCAAACCTACCTGGAGATTTACATTAGCAAATGAACAAGAATGCTTGCTTACGGATTACTAGATCATTTTATAACTTCATGATTGAATTCAAACTGCCAAACTAAATTTCTTCTCACTAAGAGTGTAATCAAAACCATTCAAGGAACTCTTGCCTGAGAAGTTGTAGATATAAACAGCAATTGCTTATTTCAGTAAACATACTTGTTCACTGCCAAACTAATCACGTTATTGCAGATGGAATCCCTGTATGCAGCTTTTCTTCACTCTCGCATTTAATTGACAGTAAGATGAATCGTATCTATATCAATTCCTAGTGCGCTAATCACTTTGCTTGTATTTCAATGCTTGTCTCTGTGCTCTTGCTATACCGGTGCCTATCCGCTTGGGACTCTGGTCTGTGTTTTACTATAAGCCATTTGTTGTAAATGATGTGTTTAAAACCAAAAAATATAGTCAAAACCAAATTATGCTAGTGCTTCTTGAACTCTGATTTTTTTTTTTTTTTTTTTTTTTTTCCTTGTGATCTCTTGTATTCCTGAAGTTAAGTTGTACCTGTTGAAAATAGTCGCTTGCTTTGCTGAAGAAGGCATGTCTGGAAACATAGTGCAAAACTAATTTTGGGATGGGGATTTTCACTTTTTTTACAGCTTAAGAAGGTTGAGCATATGTAGCTGAGCTTGGTCAACCGAAACACATGCAAGACTAAGCCACGGGTGTTCATTGCCTTCACAATTTCCTTCTTGTCACTGTTGTCTCCAGTCACGGGGTGATGTTTAGGGAAGCTAGGAAATGGGCATCGCTGTCTGTCTGTGCGCTCTAATGATACGGCACTAAAGCATGCTTAATGCAACCGCTTGCCGAGGAAAAACCAGAGGCGGTGTAGGAAGCCAGACAGTAACGCTTGCTACGCAACCCCGAAACCTGCAGCGTTGTCGCAGTTTTCAGGTGTTCAAGGGGAAAAACCTTTCATGCGCTGCTTTCCCGTCCGGTTTTGGGAGGGGGAGCTGTGCGGGGCCGCGGGCAGGGGCCGCAGCAAACCTCTGTGGACGCAGGGCGGCAGGAGGGTCTTCACGGCCACGGAGGAGGGAGCAGCGGCGGCAGTGGCGGGATCCTCTCAGCATCTCCCTCCTTGTGTCCTTTGCTCCCTGGAAAAACGTGTTCTGGAACTGCATCAGTGTACCACACTTTAGGGGTATAAAAGTTTCTACCGTACTTTGGGGGATATAAGAGTGTTTAGCCCTGCTAGAGATGAGTAGGCTGGGGAGGGAGCAGGGCAAGAGGGAAAAGTAGGTGGGAAGGTACAGAATTCCTTGCTCAGAAGAATAACGTGGGAGCTGAATTTCTCTGAAGTGCCAAAGCTTTGTCCCTCACCTGGCGATCTTTGCCAGCTGTTAGTATGCAAAGAGTGAGAGCGAGGGCAGACTGCACTGGGGAGGCTCATCAAGACGGGCCTGTCTGCTTCACCCTGACTCAGCCTCGCCGTGTCTGCGCGTCTCCTGACTCCTTACACGCGCTGCCCGCCCCGCGAGTTCCTCTCTCTTTGAGGGCTGCGGCGGGTTTAAACAAGCTTCTAATTAGGAGACTTTTCATTCCTGTGGGTTCGTAGGTGGTGACCAAGCCCGGGCCACCGCTGGCTGAGCGCTTCGTGCGGCTGCTGGGGCGCCTGGAGCTGAGCCCGTGCCCAGGCCCCTCGCTGGGCCGGGCTCTGGGGCTGGCTGGGCTGGAGGGGGCCCCAGCGGGAACCGCAGGCACCGTGCTTGGGAACAGCCAGTGGTAATACCCTGCCTTGGGTCATAACTTGCCAAATTTGGGTTGTTTGAAATCTTAATTTTCACTTTATTTCTGGGAAGATATAAATCCTTAATATTAAGTGAAGCACTCTTTCTACTCCAGCTTTCCTCCACACGTGCAATGAAAGTGGTTGCTGCTATCCTAAGTAATTTGCATGAGCTACTTGCATTATAGTCAATATAATCCACGATTACAGGATGAACTTGATCATTAATTATCTTTTGAATACGCACTTCCTTTAGACATGGCTACTAGTTATTAGATTTTATTTTCAGTTGTATAGTAGTGATAGGAACACTGAGAAATAATGCATTTCAATTGTAATACGGCTGAAGAACGAGCAAATAATTTTGAACAAAAATATTTAGGATGCGTGCACCATATAATCTGAGTTCAGGCTTCTCGTGCGTGGCAGGACTGGCTGTTCATTTACAGTGGATGTGTAGCAAGAATCGCTTTTGCCTTCCACTCCCAAGGTCTGCTTGCAGAGCGCTGTGACAACCAGTGGATCGCTTGCTCAGGAGGAGCCACGCCGTTCAGCCGGCGGACAGTGCACGCGAGCAGGCGGTGCCAAGCGACCGAGTTACCTTTTGTCAGTCAAGCTACTTTAATATGGCAGGCGTATATTCCCTCCCCATTGCGAATGCCCGGGAAGGTGGCTGGAGTTCCTAAAACCTGGAGGTGGCTTCTATTAGCGGGGAGCTTTCCGTAACCACGGTGATCCCGGAGCACCTACCTGGGAAACTCAGCGTGTGGGCTGAGTACCGATAACACACCGAGGCAGGGTAAACGGTGCGTTCGCAGCGTGAGACTGGGCTTAGGAGCTAGTTCTGCGGCAATTGTAATTCACGGTTAACAGTGCAATAAGCAATAAAGCTGTAAAAATAACCGAACAACTTGCCTAGTTCAGTTTATTCAAGGAATGTTTGGAAATTAAAACTTAAATGAGAGAGCTTCCTTGCACATTGTAAGCAGTGGATGGAAAGAAATTAGACAAATTGTTCCAGATGATAGTAAGAAAGTAGTATTTGTGTTTTGTCACTCGAATTTGTGTTAGTTTACTCTTTCCTGTCTAGGAGATCTGCACATAAGCTATTTTACATCAGCTAAGCCTGCCATTTGGACTGAAGACTGGTTTATGCTCAGACCTTAGCCTATAGGAGTATACTGTACTATAGTGTAGCCAGTACCTCAGCTGCCCTTCTCGTATTGTAAATGTAGGTGCTTTGTCTGCCAGGTACACTTACGTACAAGCGATTACTCTGTTGTGGAAAAGATGGGTCCTTCGGGTCTTAAAAAATTTTGGGGAAAAGAGCTGGAACAAAAACAAAGCTAGAGCTGAAAGCAAGCATGACTTCTGTGGCCTTGCACCCTATTTAACTGAGTGGCTATGATCTCTGCCTGCAGCCCGTTGTGTATAAAGTTAGTGTGACGAGTAGGAACCCACAGTGATGGCACTCACAACATGATCAGTATGAAGTACGTGACCAGCAATAGGGTTTGGGGATTCCTGTGACTGTAAGGGTTTTCAGAATTCAGTTTAAATTGATGTTAACTGAAGAGATCCTTCAGAAACTGGTTAAAACCTTAACATTTAAACCATGGTCCGTATTAGTTGACGGAGCAAGCACGTCAGCCTTTCTCACCACGGTCGCTAAATGGAGAGCAGCTCTGGCTTGCAGAACGTCAGGCCGTACTGGAGAGGTTCTCCAAGCCGTTCCAGGAAAATCTGAACTTGTCTGGGAACTGCCACACCATTAAGTTTGTCACCTTAAAGAGAAGTTGTATTTTAGCATGCTGTAGGATATAAATTGCTTTGCTTATAAGATTTTTTTGAAAAAGGATATGGAAATAGTGTTTCTTTGGTGTTTTAGAATACTATATTTGACAGTAAACCACATCATCTCATGAACCTGATCAAATTTGAGCTTAGATTAATGCCACTGTACAAGCAATCAATTTTAAAATACGAAGTGTACGTTCATCTTAAGTCCTTTGCTTTGACGGATTTCTTTGGTAGAGAGTTGAGAGCCTAACCATGTGTCTGTTTATTAAAATACTTCCCGAGCATCCTGTAACATTTGACACAGCAGCAGACTATTCCTAGAAATAATTAATATAGGTAGTAGCACTTAAGTACAGCATTATATTGAGGTAGGCAAGATGAAGTAAATGTGTGGTAACCCTTTATGGTTTTAGTACTGTTTGTTGCTCCGTAATGTTTTAATACAATATTATTATCAAATATAGGTGAAGTAACTGGGAATATTTGAGTTTACCTTTATGGTTATAGAAAATGCTGTGATTTGGTTGTGCGTGTGTACATGTACGCTTGTATGTATACACAATAAATACACATCCTCATGTGTTGTTTTTAATCTTTGTAGGGTACCTTTGTGCGTGTTCAAGCTGCAGAAGCTGTGAGTGTTCCAATAAAGAATCATTTCCCCACAAGAGAACAACAAATTTTGGCGCTGCAAACCACCAGTGAATTTGATGTCCTTGTTATAGGCGGAGGAGCAACAGGATGTGGCTGTGCTTTAGATGCAGTCACTAGAGGTAAGGCTTGAAAATTGAATTGCATTCTTATTCTTGGATTACAGGGTTTATAATAAATTTATCAGATTGACTTTTCAAAAGTACTTGGAGATAGAGAAGGTGTACTCTGAATGCCTGGTTATAAAACTTCCTTCTGTTCTCAGAAGCTAAAATGAACTTGGAGATAAAACGTCATTGCATTTTGTTGTTTCAGCAGTCTTTATTGCCTAGGTGCTTGTATGCAGTTGTCTAACAAACCTTTTTGCTGGATGCTCTTGGATGGACTTCTCGTTCTCTGTTGCTCCTTACTTGGTGGGTTTATCCGGAGTCACGTTTCAGTTGCTTGTGCAGGAGAGTGTCTGCAGCACAGAGACGACAAGACTTGCACAGCACTTTTAGCAGCTCTTCTGAAAGGGCCAAGCATGAACTCTAGATGTGGCACAGTGGCTCTCCAGCTCCTATTTCTTATAACATAAGATATCTACAGCTTCTGCTAATGCATTGTAGCTGCTTAGTATACTGCAGGTTTGGAGAAGCCCGTCTGGATTTTCAGTGGAAGGTACCGGCACCATTCAGTCCGAAGGTGCATACAGTAGATCTGTGCTCGCGTTTCCCGTCTTCTGGGGGATTAACTGCGTAACTGGTTTAAGAAGCTGCCAGAAGCAGCAGAATTGATGTTAACTTTATGCGTAGCCTTAACTTACGGAAAGCTCAAGGTAAAATGAGTTTAAGCTAATGCATTCTACCTGACTTCTGCAGGAGGATGATCCTTGTGGGTCCCTTCCAACTCAGGACATTCTGTGATCTGTGACAGTCGGTTGTTGCCCAGCAGATGTGCAGATGTTGCCCAATAGCTCATGCAGTCGGTCAGACATGTGAAAAACTCAGTTCAGGGGCTGAAAAAGCAGGACGCTAATGCCCACTGTTGTCATCCACCTCGCACAGTAACTGTGAAATTGGCCAGCAGGTTCAATCAAATTTGACAGATCTCAAAGAGAATAAATCATTTTACAAGTTTAATGAAAATAGATCTTCAGATACAGAGGTGAGAATGCATGGGTACTGTTTCTGCGGGAGAGGCTGTAGCATCAACTCCTGTTCTATTAAAATGCTGCATTCCCCCAGAATATCATATTTTTGTTCAAAAAGCTATGTAAAAGATCTGTGAGAAAAGCTTGTCGTGGAACATGTTCTCTGTTGCTGTTTTCAGTACAATCAGCCAATGAGAGGGAGAACCAACCTTTCTTAGTGGCTGTGTTTGTAGACCTTGTTTCTGGTTTTGGAACTAAAATGGAAAAAAATAGTGTTAAAAAATAGTAGATAGCCATAAAGTTCTTCAGGTTCCTTAACCCGTAGATATACCTCAGAAATGAGAGGCAAAGCCTGACTCCAGGAGTGTTCTGGAGTTTGATTTGGAAAATACTTGTCCAGAACGTGTGATAATTTTGAAATAGATAAAGCAGTAAGGTCTGTACTGTTGGTACATACGTACAAACTCAAATCTGGTTGTTAATTTTTTTCATGTATTAGTAAAGATAACTTGGGATGTTTTCACTGCTGCCTCTGCTATATTGTGGTAGAAAATGCAGTTGTAAAGCGCACAGAAATTATTATAGGTAATCTGTGTTTATCCTTTTACTAGATATTCTGATTATATCAGTAGATTTCTGAACTGTGAAATATTCCTAGGCATTTGGTTAATGAATTGTGTATTGTTGCTGTTCATTCATGGAACTTGCTCTTTTATTACGTTTGCTTCACTTAACAACAAATTTTGCTTTTCATGTGTTTGATATATCTTTGCCAAATTATTTCTGATTGTATCCATTAATCTTCAGTCATATTTGACAAAAATAAATTACTCTGATCTTTGGAAGTTACCAGTAATAATTAGATTTTTTTTTTTAAGGACATAAAAGTTTTGGGAGACCAATAGATGTTAAAACTTATGTTAACCAACCAATAACATCAAGCACCCCTCAAAGAGGGCGAAGGAAAGACCCGAGGGATAGCTTCCGATGCAGGCGATGCTCTCCTCCCTGGCTGTGCGTCCTCATGTCGCTGTTGGTTTTGGTAGCAAGGTCACTGAATTTAATTCGCTTTTTGCCTTGCCTGCCTAACTTTAAAATTCTGCCAGTGATGGAGGGGGTCTGTTATGCTGACTTGTGTAAGACAGGCTGTCCTTCCACATATGCTTTATAAGTGAAAGATTGACATGCACTTGTCCTACGGCGCTTATCTTGGCTGGGTTTGCTTACGCTGGGCGTTGGAAGTCAGCGGTGGTTGTCTTGTAGGTATGTGCCAGAGGACGTGGCCAGGCTGTTGCCTGTATCTTACCATTAAAAGGCATCTGTTAATCCTCTGTTCCCGGCAACTTTTCCCTTCACCTGACATCCATCACATAACCCAGCGTCAGTCTCCTTCACGAAGACGATGCTAGCACCTCCCTTGTGCAAGGGAGGTGGTGCGGCCAGCATTGGGCTATATGGCCTCGGAGCGACTTCATGTGAAGCGGCGCGCCTTCACCCGGGGAAAGCTTTTTCCTGGCCTTTGGGGTAACTGGGAACACAGCCGGTGCAGCGTCCACGCCAGCCTCCTTCCAAGCGTTTGTCAGAACAAGCATTGCGACATCTGTTGTAGAGCACGCGTGTTCTGGATGCGCGTGCCCATCTGGGAGCTGCGGGGTTATCCCTTCCTCGGGCTAGGCACAGCGTCAGTGCCTGCCGGTGTCCGGGAACACGCGGGCACCATTTTCAGTGAACGTTTTTCTGCAATACTTAGTAATATCTTGCAGCGAACGTTTTGTGTGCGCGTGTGCCCTTTGCGTATGTGATGTGTAAAAGGAGGATGTCTGTGTGCTGTGTGAGCGCTGTAGTATCTGCATAGTAAGCTGTAGAGGAACTTATTTTCCCTTTGCTGCACTTCCTAGGTAAGCTACTATATTTTGTATTAAGCCTCAGTTATGAAACAATTTCACGTGTATGGCAGAATTACATATATGTGCGTACATCGCGTTCCCTGGGGAGCTCTCCCTGAGCAGCGAGCGTGCCCGTGGCTGGCTCCCCTCTGGTTGGGGCGCCCCTGGGGCAGACTGTGAGTAAGCAGCCAGAGATGCCAGTTGTCTGCCTCGCTGGTATGCCGTCTAAACTGTTCGTCTGAGGGGTTTAGAGCTCTCTGCTGCAAAGAGTTAAAAGTATTCATGAAAATATTCTGTTCCTGCCATGAATACGAACTATAATTTGCTTGAGGGAGCATGGCCCCTATAATGTACTGTAATGCCTTTCTATTGTGAAATATCCAGGTTTTAATGTGCTTCTGTTTAAGTTCGGTTTTGACTTTTCCCTTAGGAAGGAGGCTAAAATTTTTCATTACAATATAGACAGTGCACTACACTTTGAATACAAATTTATCCATGTACAGAGTAATTTTTCTTGCGATTGTCTCTACCCTAGAGAAGTGTCTTTTAATGAATTACATACAAATTGTGTAATTTAAGAAGTTAATTTGGTTTTCTGGTAACACAGGACTAAAAACAGCCCTTCTAGAAAGAGATGATTTCTCATCAGGGACCAGCAGCAGGAGTACTAAATTGATCCATGGTGGAGTAAGATATCTTCAGAAGGCCATCATGAAGTTGGATTTTGAGCAGGTAATTGTTTATGCTGGTTGTTAAGCAAAAATTGCTAGTAGACACTTCCCTATCCCAATTATATCCAAGCCTCCTTTTTATTTTTTCAGTACTGGACCGTTGTGTTCCACAGCCACTGTACATAGAAAGTGCCATCTCCAGTTAAGCTTTCCAGACTAGGGAAATCGGTGCTGCTGCCTTTTGCTGAAGTCTTTTATGGGCAATCTAATTGCCGTACCTTGTAGACTGTGTGTCTTTTGGGGAAGGAAGGCAGAGGCAGGCCTGACGGCAGAATAAAAAGAGCTTCCCACCTGTCATGATCAGAATTTGGGGGAGCAAGTGGTTGTCCTGTTTATTTCGGAAGAGGGAAAGAAAATATGGTAAATGAGTCATTCTATATAAATGCTTCTATGTATTCTTGTGTTGGGGGAAGCATGATGTTCTCGTTTTGGGAAATGGATTTGTCTTCTCATTGAAACCTCTCTAACTTTAAAGTAGGTTTTAATGGTTATAATACTGCTACAGAAATGGTGACTTCTCAGGGAAGAAAATACAAAAACATGCCGTTATCCAGCTGTAGAAATCAACCTTTTTTTTTGCCAAAGAGCAACTTCATATTGATTCATATTGATTGATCTGGAGAAGAACACTTCTGCATTTGCAACTCAGAATTAGTATGGGATTTAATTGTGGGAATCGGGACAGAAGCTATACCGTGGGATGAGTTCTAACCCTCCTTAAGTGCCTCCTGCCCAGAGTTAGGAGTGACAGGCCTTATTGCGCTTTATGTTCAGATGAAAAATTATTCAACTGACCTGCCAGGACACCAAAATGAAACTAGTGAAACTTAATTTTCTTGGGAAACATTTTCCTTAGCTTCTGAATTTTTCAGCAAATCTCGTGTTTTTGAAAGAACAGTAAAAATTATGCGAGGTATTTGCTTTGATCAAGAGTTTCTTATTAAATGTTGCACATGGAGACAAAATTGAGTAATGTGGGATTCGCCTGTATGCTTCTATTTTTCAGTACAAGATGGTGAAAGAAGCACTTGAGGAGCGTGCAAATCTGCTTGAAATTGCTCCTCACCTCTCAGCTCCTTTGCCGATAATGCTACCTGTTTACAAGTAAGCGCTGCTATAATATCTCTCCTTTACCATTGCTTCTGACAAGCAAGCTATTTCCCCGGAGAAGTTTCCAGGTGCCTCTTTCCAAGCATGTCTTTAAACCTGTCACAAGCTTTGTCCTCCAGGAGGTGAGATGTTGCCATCTTGTAGAAGCAGGAAACCCTCTTCCGGCACCAGCCGGCTATCACCGCTGTCTAGGAGCATCTCAGGCTTCAGCTCTTCAGCACGTTTCGGCCACCCCGGTGGGAGGAGGGGAGTCTGCAGCTGGAATGAACTCTCCTTTCCCAGGGTGTTATTGCTGTTCTTTCCCGTACATCTTGTCTTCAGCATGTGCTATCGTAGCGTTCTTAGCGATGTGCTGTTCAGTCCTTACAACCACCAGTGTTCAGCGCAGTAATTACATGCGTTTGCCTTCCACCGTACGTGACAGTTTGGTATTGAAGAACAGTTTGCTTCTCATATGAGAAAGGGACTTTAAGTGATTTTGGTTAGGTTTTTAGATCTGTAAGAACAGTTACTCACTGTAACAGCCTACTTAGAGCAGTGAGTTTTTGCTGAATGGTCTTAATGTATGGCTTTATTCCTGTCTTAGTGGAAGGGGCCTGTAATAGCCGGAGCTCATCTGCGTCAGGGGTCAGCTGCGTTTGTTTGGTCCTGTTTGGGCAGGAGGCCTTAGTCAAGACGGGTGTTTGAGGAACCCTTTCAGCTTGCATATAGAGCCTGGTTCTTCCCTCAACACATAGCTTTAATATCTCACCTTATACTGAAGTACAAAAAGCCAGCTTGCGATCTTAATTGTAGAATAAATAAAGCCTTGAATCTGTTTGACTCACTGCAGTGAGTACATCAGTTGAAAACAGTAGTGAACAATACATAAGTTCTTGTACATTTACATTACATTGTGATACTGTATGGTGGTACAAAGTAAAACTGATGTAATACAGCACTGTGTTACTTAACATGTTCTATATTCCAATAACAGTGTGTGCATGCACTTATAAATTTTTTTATTACGCTTCATGGGGAATTTTTTTTTTCCTGCAGATGGTGGCAGCTGCCATACTACTGGTTCGGAATAAAACTATATGACCTCGTGGCTGGAAGTCAGTGTCTGAAAAGTAGTTATGTCCTTAGCAAGTCAAGAGCCTTGGAGCTCTTTCCCATGCTACGCAAAGACGAGCTTGTTGGAGCGATTGTCTACTATGACGGTATGTTGCCTTTCTGTGCTTTCGTTACTACATTCTGCTGTGTCGGGGAGGGGAACACAAGTATGCAACTGTAGATCACGTACCTTGACTTTCTAAAGGGAAGAACAACAACTTGAAGGATTGAACTTGCATCTCGAGCATTAATTTGGTAGATAAATTACGTTTTTCACGAGGGTAACTTCCTGGATGTAGGAGAGAATACAGTAGTTTTCTTGGCTAGGAGGTATAGTGATATGTGAAGACATTCTAGTGTTCTGGTGATTCCTGACAACTTCCCAGCTGTGCGTGGTTTTGCTATACACTTCTCGGACTGAACACTTCTTCTGAGGTATCATAAGTCAAGAAAGTGTGATCGTGCCAGTAATGTTAAATGGTTTGCTGTAGCACTTCCACTGTGCTTCAAACCCATCTAGATGACCTGGCTGCTGGTTGTGGTTCTTGCACCGGGTTGGATGAGGCCTGGATCAATTACTTTTTGTATCGCCAATAAAATCGGTTGCTCTGCAAAGACAGTATTCATTGTAATTATAATCAAATACTAAAGATTGCTATAAGACATGAATGGTTTCTGTCAAAACCCCTTTATTTAAAGGGTTCTAAATTCATGAGAGGGGGAAAAATGCCTCCAGCTTGAGTTATTTAATCTGTTGTATCAGCTAGTCTTAGGTATGTTTGTGTATAACACACAAAATCAGTGTCTGAGTGGGAGAAAATACAAATGCTTTCTGCAAGTCTCTTGATGTTCATTCAAAACAAAATGATGATTTAACAGAACGCATTGCAGTCGTCCAGAAACAGCAACTTGCACGTTCAAAAGCGTTCACGTGTATTCACGTTTGGAACGAGCATCACTCTTGTTTGTAATGTAAGAATGGATAAGCCTTTTTGCCTTGTTCTGTGAAGTAAGTCTAGTAGTAAGTCCCTAGCGTGGCTGTACAGCGACAGGTGCCGCAGTGGATCTTCTAAGCAAAGAATTTCTTGCCTCTGTCCCTTCAGTCTCTACAGATGAACGAGGCAATCTGAAACAAAACTGGTGAAGGTTTAGTTGGCTTACTTGACAAATGACTACCTAGAAACTTTGCTTGTCCGGAATATTAGAGTTCGTGTTGATGTATACGTGTCTTGGTCTTTATCCAAACTGCTCTATCTCAGTGCTTTTCAATGTCATGCACGTTACATCCCCAAACTGTCAGAACTTCAGTATTTAAAAAATACTGACCTTGTACAAATTCTAAATGTTGGAAAGTTCACTGCTTAAGTTTGAGTACCGGGGTACACTGTCATAATTGCCTTCTTGAATATTTTTTTCTTTGCATCAGACTTCTACGCTGTTTCAGGATGTGTTTTGAGTTAGGTCGGTATTCCCCCTTCTCTAGTCCTCTTCCGCTTCCCTTCCAAGACAGAAAGTTTGGGTAAAACTTCCTTGGTAATGGGGCCAGCTAGGTAACATCAAAATGTTAAGTGTGTTCAGGATAGGGCAAGAAGCCATAGATTCCTTGCAGGCTTGGAGGAGCCCTCCAAAGAATAAATAGGTTAAATACTGATTTACTTCAGTAGTGGTGCAGTTCTAGTTAGTTTTTACCTGAAGATGTAGTTTCTGACCTTTTGGCAGCCAGAAAGGTCTTCACACAAAATTGATTATAAAGGTAGTTCTTTTCCCTTTTTAGAACTGCATTTACACTGTTCATCAGCTTATCAATAGGGGCTTTTGTACTGGGAAGAAGTGAGAGGGACTCTTGAAACACGCTGGCCTCAGATAGTATTTATGAGGCTTCTGGCAAAAGCACGTGTTGATAATTGCAAGTTGTCTCATACGGAGCCCAGCAGAATGAAAAAAAAAAAAAATTTATATGTTTGTGTGGGAATATATGTGTGTAGGTTCTTATTTGGGACTAGGGTGAGATTTAAGTAAAAATTAAGTCCATCCTCTATCTCTGATGGAGACTGCATCTTTTCTACTGTATTTTTAAGGTCTAGAAGAAATAAGAGGTTATTTAGAAGCAAAATTTATTATGGGATTATGTGCTATTTTTTGTATACTGTAACAAGAGCTGCTGTAAATAGCATACATAGAAGTAATTCAGATTTATTTTTTCATTATCATAAGCTATTCCTTAGACTGTTTTAAGGGATCCCAGGAGCATGCAAGAAGAACAAAGTGGTTCTCTTAACTGTAATTACACTTCTCATAAGAGCACTATAACTTGAAATCTATTTATAATCTATTGAGGTTTTTTTCAGATTAAATAGATAGTTTGGATGTATCACAGCTATTTACTACTCCAGCATTCTAAAGATACACATTTAGGAGATAGCCTTAAAATTAGTCTTCAAGTTTCTTGGACGAATAATTATTTTAAACCCTGATGCAATAAATGAAAATGCAGCACCAAGCTGCCACGTGGCCTTTTAGCGGGAAGCACCTGTGCAGCAATGCAGTGCGGAGCTCTGTGAACGACTGAGATGGCTCTGACGGTTTCGTTGCCTTCCCGAGCAATCGGAAACAAGCCCCCACTCTGCATATTGGAAACAGAGGAGTGTCAAACAGAAAAAAGGAGGTGTACAAAATATCGAAGAGCCGTTCAGTGGGGAAGGAGGACTCTGTAATCACTCTGCTTATTCATACCAGTTTCGTAAAATCAGGTAGCGGGCAGAGACTCTTAACGATTCTCCTTCAGAGAAGGAGCTGCAGTGCCAGCAGGACGCAGACTGATTTGGTGAGAGAGATCAAAAAGAGGCTTGAAGTTTTGCTGCCAGTGAAGCTACTTGTTCATGCTAGTGTATCTGGCCTTACTTTGCTTTACTTATAAGACTACAGCTTAGTTATCCACATTTTGATGCAGAATTTAAAGAAATGGTGTTTTGCAGTGAAAAAACTAAAAAAGCTCTCAAAGCTCCGCCAAACCTCTATTTCCTAGAAGAATAAAGTGGTTCTGAAGGGCTAAAGTATCAAATTTGTGAGTTCATAATATACATTTGGGTGCTTTGAGGCTGCACCTAATCCAGAACAACAACTTTCCAACCACAATGTTAAATCAATTCCTAACATGCCGCATTCCAGAATTAAATTTTGTCTGTAGTGACTCCTCTGTAGGTCAGCCTATGGCCCGGGGTGTAGGTGAGCTCGCGCTGTGTTGTAACACATCCATTATTTTATCGTGATCAATTAACCTGTGTTCTGTCCACAGTAAATTTGTTTGAAGTCATAATGTTTCAGCAAGCACACTTTAGATCTTGTAAATTATTATACTTGAATTTTAATGATACACTTTCATGCCCTAAATCCGGAGGAATGGAGGACAAAAGGGAAAGGTAATTGAACTTAAAGTAGAGAAGGGCCTGATAAGATTGAATGAGACTCCTTTTAGTTCTTTCAGAAGGAGTTGTCATAAAATAGAGCATTAAATAATGGCGAAAATATATATATGTCTTAAAGCAGCTCGTATCTTTATCTTCTCTGTCCATCCCTTCTCTGTCTTCCCTAAATAACAAATAAATAAATTGGCCTTTTAAGAGTGGTGTGTCTTAACTGATTCCGTATGTGCAGTTAAACGTAGTTAAATGTAGTTTTATCTTGTTTTCTTGCTTTTCTCTGTTCTTGTCTCTATTGTACTCGCTTTGCATCTGTAGTTGTTAATAGCACGGACTAGCTGCATCTTGCTGTTTGGCACGTTGATCGCCACCGCCAAAGGGCAGAATTAAAAACATTCGTTGTGTACGTTACTTTTTTATTTGATAAAACCACCTGTCCAGTTATGGCTCATTGGTGGCAGTGTTCTTTTGCAAAGGAAAGATCAGGAATGCTCTTTGTTTTCTTTTGTAATTGTTGATCAAACCAGTGGCATGTCAAATAATCCATTATTCATGACTGTGTTGTGTTCTGAAATGTTGCTGTGGTCGTCTTAATTACATTTTTTAAATTGTTTATACAGGCAAAAAAAAAATGGTACATTATAAATGTTGGAAGTACCAGCAACAGCAAATCGCAGACTTGACCAGAGGCTATTCTTGCTCTGTCTCAGCATCAGGAAACGAAAGCATATGTTGGATGTTAGCCTGGGTGTACACAATGTGTCCTATTTATTCAAGGTTTTCTTTGAAGCCGCAACTTACAAGTTTGTTTCTTAGGGGTACATGTCAGACTTCATTTAGCATTCGTTGGTATTAGGATACTCCTGAATAGCAAAAAGGCAACATTTTGGGGGAAGAATGTGGCTGCTATCTGAGCAGCGATCTGTCAGTTCCACTTAGGTAGCTCAGGGAAAACTGGAGAAGAGGCACTGTGGAGACGCTAGGCTGAGATCTCCAGATCGTAGGCAGAATTATTTTAAAGCACTTTAAATGGAAGAATTAATCTCCATTTAAATTATACATAGTTCGTTATGTTAAGAACTAGGAAAAACATTAAAGCAGAGATCCAACTGGCCAGAATATTTCAATTTGAAGTGTTTAGAAATTCTAAGTGGCAGAGTTCTTTTTTAAGATGCATTATCTTTCTGTCTCTAGGTGCTTGCAGACTTTTTGGTTAACATATTTTGCCTTGCAAGATGAGCCTTTAGGTGTGTAAGGAAAATTTGTATTCTGGAATCGGTCATGAAATTAAGATTTTAGTGCTTTGTTGACCCTGCTCTTTGAATTTACTGCTATTTTCTGAAAGCAGGAATTAACACGTACTACTTCTGCGACTGTTTTGCCACACCCAGGTATTTGATTGTTTAATGTCTTGTTCTGCAAATTTCCATATACTTGCTGTGATGTAAGTAATTGTTCTTTATTTTTTGCATTCTCAGTATTTTTGTATATATTCTCTCCTGAAAGATTTAATATGGAGGTTACTTAAAGGTAGAAAAAGAGGCTTTGGCAGAGGATTTAGCTTTCCTTGTTTACAGCAAACCCCATGAGAAATCCTCCCCGGGCACACATGCACACACACAGACACACATACACACAAAAATCAATGCAAAAGAGTAGGGCATTCATTAAGCTGTCAAAAATGGAAT